TGACCAAAAATTTTTTAAAATTAATAATTGAAAAAGCATTCCTGCCTTCTGAGGACACAGGAAACCAAGAACTCTCATATAATACTGGTGGGGATGTAAACTGTTACAATCAATTCAAAGGAGAGCAATCTGGCAATATCTTATAAAGATGAAAATAAACATAACCTATAACCTAGCAATTCCAATTCTAAGTATATATTCTACACCAGTGTTTTTTATACTGTGGATCCTGATCTACTGCCAAATCAGTTTAGTGGGGGGAAAATTAGCATTCAAAACATGAAGTGTAATATAAAAGAAAAAATCAAGGTATCATTCATAGTAAAGATTAAAAATTGTTTTTGTGAAATTTTCTTTTTCAACAGGGATGAATTTCACAAACTATTTTGTGAAAAGCAAGTCACATATGATTACCTATTCTATAATTAAATATACATGATGTTCAAAAAGAAAACACAACCCTGTATTTTTAGGTATACATTCACAGATAATAAAAAGCATTTTAAAAAATTCAATGAAATCATTAACACAAAATTTAGGACAGTGGTAACTTCTGCAGAGGAAGGAGAAAAGGATGCACTTAGGAAGGAACACACATGGGCTACATATTTTTAAAACATAATTTGTGTAAACTATATAGCAGTAATTTATAGTATATATAGAAAATATAAGGGGCTGGGTGTAGTGGCTCACACTCGTAATCCTAGCTCTTTGGGAGGCTGAGGCAGGAGCATTGTTTGAGGCCAGGAGTTTGAGCCCAGCCTGAGCAAGAGTGAGATCCCGTCTCTACAAAAAAACAGAAATATAAAAAACAGAAAAATTAGCCGGGTATGGTGGCATGTGCCTATAGTCCCACCTACTCAGGAGGCTAAAGCAGGAGGATTGCTTAAGCTCAGGAGTTTGAGGTTGCAGTGAGCTATGATGACATCACTGTATTCTAGCCCAGGTGACAGAGCAGAATTCTGTCTCCAAAAAAAAAAAAAAAAAGTGTAGGGTTTTCTTGCCCTTGCCTTTGCTCTGTACTATTCCAGAAAGGGATGTGAGCGGCTAGCCTGACTCAGCAAGGGTGTTCTTTCTTATCCAGAACCAAGAAAAATAAGCAAAGTCGAAAATTATGCAAGGAGGAAGAAGAGAGACTGATAAATCTCAGAAGAAGGTCCAAATGGGCATGGTTGGGTCTGAGAAAAATTTTAAAAAAACAGAAAGCAATATTATGGATATATGGGTATGGATATATGAAAGAAAAAATATAAAAACATAGACTGAAAGAAATCACCCCAAGTTCATGATAATAGATTTCTATGGATAGGGAAGAGTAGGGGATGAAACTAGGAGGAAAATAAACAGACAAATCTTACCTGTACTGTTCTACTTTAAATAAAAAATGTTAATACATGTTAATTCTGGGTGATTAGTACATGGATATTTGTTACATTAGCCTCCATACTTTTCTATATTTTTTGAAATAAGGAAAAAATCTTGCTGTTGAATATCAATTACAATTTTAAATATTCATACTTTTTTATTCTACTCTTAGTAATTTATCTACAAACATTTATATAACTACACAAAGATATATATATACACACAAATGAGTTCACTACAACCTTGTTTGTAATAGGAAACTATCTGGATTAACCCAAAATGCCCTTCAATAGGACCAGTTATATATATTATATAAATAATCATTTAAAAAATTTTAAGAGATGAAATAAATTTATACATATTGACATGGAAAGTACTCCAAATTATGTTAAACAAAGAAGACTGGTTGAATATTTATATTAAAATATACACACCCATACACCCATGTATGTATGTCTACATATACTCAGACCATCTCTAGAAAGAACACAGAAAATTAGTTACCATGGTTACCTCCAGGAAAGAAAACTACAAGACTAGGACAAGGGAAGAAGGGAGATTTTACCTTGTGTTATAGTCATCTGTATCTTTTAATTTTATACCACATACTTATAGCATCTATTTTAAAAATTAATTTTAAAAACTATATATAGTATACTTGGTTTTTTTTTTGAGACAGGGGTCTTGCTATATTGCCCAGGCTGATCGTAAACTTCTGCCTCAAGAGATCCTCCCACCTCAGCCTTTCTAGTAGCTGGAACTACAGGAATATGCTACCATGCTCAGTTCAAGTTTTTTTTTAAAGAGATAAGGTCTCACTATGCTTCCCAGGCTATACTTGTATTTTTGAAAAGCAAAATATATATGTATGCAGAGAAAAAAATCTTGCAGATTACACCATTTTAACAGTGATTATAACCATAGGACAAAATTTAGGGGACTTTTACCTCCTCTGTGATTTCTATAATGTTTAAATTTTTCACAATAAGTATATATTACTTGTGTGACGAAAACAGTAAAATAAAAACCTTTGCAATAGATAAATGTCATCTTCTCTTTGGTTTAATGAAATGTTTACATTTTGATTCCCTATTAAAGTTTTTGTAAGATATGGGTTTTTTTCCCTCCCATGTCGAAGGAAGAGTTTTTATTTTTATTTTTATTTATTTATTTATTTTTTGAGACAGAGTCTCACTGTGTTGCCCTGACTAGAGTGAGTTCCGTGGCGTTAGCCTAGCTCACAGCAACTTCAAACTCCTGGGCTCAAGCGATCCTCCTGCCCCAGCCTCCCGAGTAGCTGGGACTACAGGCATGCGCCACCATGCCCAGCTAATTTTTTCTATTTTTAGTAGAGACGGGGTCTCGCTCTTGCTCAGGCTGGTCTCGAAATCCTGAACTCAAACAATCCGCCCACCTCAGCCTCCCAGAGTGCTAGGATTACAGGCGTGAGCCACCGCGCCCGGCAAGAAGAGTTTTTATTATTTTGTAATTTTTTTTTTTTTGTCTCCTGTCTCAATGGTCTTTGAAAAATTTTTTTTAGATGACAAATGTTTAGGTTCTTTTTCTTAACAAGAGATTGTTTTTTAATATCCAGGAACACAATCCATTAGCTATTCTTTTTCACTCATCATAATCTCTGAGTTAACTTTTCTTCCTGAAAAGTCTTCTTATACGACCATTTGTTCCTGAGTAATATTGAACATATTGAAGTATTTACATTGAAAGGGGCTGGGAGTTAGGTTTTGCTTATTGTGTCGCAAATATTCGGAATATTTTTTCTCTGATTTGCATTTTAAAACATGCTCTTATAGGTAGGGAGCAAATATGGAGCGTTGCCAGTCCAAAGAAGTATTTTGTTTCTCTACTTTAAGACAGTTGAAGCAATTATAAACAGGATGTAAAGGAAAACATTTCACCATAACAAAAGTGTTTTCTTTTAAGAAACAAATGAAAACTAAAGTTTGTTTTCAGGTGACAGAGTTAACTTACTAATCATGATGAATAATGACTATTGCATTTCCTGGAAGTTTCTTTAAAACTAAACTAAACTAAAAGGACAGGTAGTCTTAATCAGGAAAAAAAATGTCTCTACCCCTTAGCTAGCCCATTGAACTTGGTGCTGCAAAATACTAATCTACGCTTTTTTCAACCCAGAAATATTTATCCCAGGATACTAGTCTGATCAGAGTGTGTAGCAGTAACATACGCGAGAGGGCTTAGAGCTAAGAGCGAAGCCATGTTAGAAGCACCAGTGGCAAGCAATTCTTTTCTTCCACAGCCCTTTATACCAAGTTTTGGGAGAAAACTGTTGAAAGGAATGAAAAGGACTATAGGGAGGAGAACATGGAAACAGTTAGAATGTAATAGTCCACACAATTTAAAAGGAACAGGATCTGGCAGCAAACTTCTCCTAGTAGGCTACTGTAGTTTCAATCACTAACATTTTGAGAACTGACTCCCCTATCCTTTTTCTTTTCTCCCCTTTGTTTGTTTCCACCTTCTGTTACTCTCAACTGTTCCTATCTTCCCCAACTTTGCCTAGTTGTAAAAAAAAATCATCAAGATCTGACCTACATCTCCATAGTGTCCCCTCTGCTACATTTTTCTATTATGGAATCTCCTCCTTCCAGGGGAAGGCTTTATCTCAATTTCAAAGCAATCTGCGATAGTCAGGATTCTAAAGTGACTGACTCATAGCCAGAAATGGTTGGAAATCCTCTGACCTACTAAAAGAAAGAAAGAACTATAAAAAGGGCTATATCCACTTACCACGAACCTGCTTTTTTATTTCTTTGGCAGAGTCCAGCCATGTCTGTAAAAAGAAGAAAAGGCATTCACATATAGCTCCCAAACACATCAACAATAGAGTACTGGAAGGAGGATCACTGACCATCTTCAAATAGTGCCTCCAGATCAACCTACATTTCCCTTAATACTTTTTGCATTAATTTCAGAAAGCATAGTGATTTTGAGCAGAGAAATGGGGAGCCAAACAGTTGAGCTTGAATCCTAGTTCCACTACTTCCTGGCTGAGTGACTTTAGGATCTCTGTACCTCAGTTTCCTTATCTATAAAATGAGATAGTAGCAGTGCCTACCTCGTAGAGTTATTATGAAGATTAGTGAGTTAATATATGTAAGTCTCTTAGTAAACAGTAAAAGTTTCGAAACTATGAGATATCATCTCACCCCAGTTAAAATGGCTTTCATCAAAAAGACAGGCAATAACAAATGCTAGTGAGGATGTGGGGAAAGGGGAACACTCGGTACACTGTTGGTGGGAATGTAAGTGCAACCACTATAGAGAACAATATGGAGGTTCCTCAAAAAACTAAAAACAGGCCGGGCACGGTGGCTCACGCCTGTAATCCTAGCTCTCTGGGAGGCCGAGGCGGGCGGATTGTTTGAGCTCAGGAGTTCAAAACCAGCCTGAGCAAGAGCAAGACCCCATCTCTATTAAAAATAGAAAGAAATTAATCGGACAACTAAAAATATATAGAAAAAATTAGCCGGGCATGGTGGCGCATGCCTGTAGTCCCAGCTACTCAGGAGGCTGAGGCAGGAGGATCACTTGAGCCCAGGAGTTTGAGGTTGCTGTGAGCGAGGATGACGCCACGGCACTCTAGCCTGGGCAACACAGTGAGATTTTGTCTCAAAAAAAAAAAAAAAACTAAAAACAGAATTACCGTAGGATTGAGCAATCCCACTGCTGGGTGTATACCCAAACAAGGGGAATTCAGCATATCAAAAAGATATCTGTACGTCCATGTTTATTGCAGCACTATTCACAATAGCCAAGATTTGGAATCAACCTAAGCGTCCATCAATGGATGTATGGATAAAATTATGGTACATATACACAATGGAATATCATATAGCCACAAAGAATGAAATCCTGCCATTTGCAATAACATGGATGGAACTGGAGAACATTAAGTGAAATAAGCCAAGCACAAAAAGACAAATCTCACATATTCTCACTCATATGTAGGAGCAAAATATTAAAAAACAATTGATCTCACGGAGATAGAGAGTAGAATGATGGTTACCAGAGGCTGGGAAGGGTAGCAGGGAGTGGGGGATAAAGTGGGGGTGATAAATGAGTGCAAAAAATGTAGTTAGATAGATAGAATGAACAATATTTGATAGCACAACAGGAAAAACTAATTGATGGTGATAGATACCAGGAAAAAGTTACTTTTGACACGGGGTGGGGAGGGGTACCAACTGGTAGGGGTCGAGGGTAGTAACGAGGAAGGGGCACAAAAGGGGGTTCTGGAGTTCTGGTAATGTTCATTTTCTTACCTTTGGAGAGTTTACACAGATGTGTTCACTTTGTGAAAATTCTTTGAGATGTACATGTATGATTTACACACTTCCTTGCATTGTGTTATACTATTAGGCACTGAGGAAACAGAGATAATATGTACAAACTAATTTCTCAAAGAGTGTGGTTGTGAAGGACAGTAGAAGACAGGGTCATAGCTAGAGGAAAGAAACAGGACTTACTTATAAAACAACAAAATTTGAAGGAACAAGTTATAGAATTGTATTTTAGTAGAGATCTTAAGATGCTCCCTAAAATAGCAATCCTGGATCATCTTCTAGTTTCTATTTGAATATATTTGGTGGTAGGGATTCCTTTCAAGAGTCCATTCTATCAATCATATCTTGTGAGTTAAATACATAAACTAAATAAACAGAATTTAAGTTCATGCATTAAAAAGACTCACATTCTTTCTTCAGCTTAAAAAAAGTTTCCAAACAATATGGAGATGAAGAGCAGCAAAATCCTGATATGCATTTTTTTTGGTTTTTTTGAGACAGGGTCTTGCTGCGTCATCTGGGCTAGAGTACAGTGGCATTATCATACCTCACTGCAACCTCAAATTCCTAGGCTCGAGCAATCCTCCTGCCTCAGCCTCACAAGCAGCTGGGACTATAGTCGTGCACCACTGCACCCAGCTAGCTAATTTTTCTTTTCTTTCTTTTTTCTTTTTTTTTGTAGAGATGGGTCTCACTCTTGCTCAGGCTGGTCTTGAACTCCTGGCCTCAAGTGATCCTCCTGCCTCAGTGTCCCAAAGTGCTGGGATTACAGGCGTGAGCCACCACACCAGGCCTCCTGGTATACATCTTCATTCATTCAACTGAAGTATTACAGGTCTCCCACGTGCTCTTCTATTTCAAAACACCTTCTCATCTGTTGTTTCTTCTACTTGGAATACTCTGTCTCCATCTCTTCATCTGGAAGATTCCTGACTATCTTTTATAATACAGACCTGATGTTACCTTCTGCAGAAAACCCTTTCTAACTCCCTGTCTATGTGAGTGCCCACATCTTACTGCTGTCCTCTATTCAGTCTGGGAGCTCCATGAGGAAATAGACTATGTCTTTTATAGCTCTGCCTAGCACAAGACAGATACTAACTGCTCAATAAATGTTTATGAATGAGTGAACTAACAAAGAATGAATGAATGATGACACTGAAGTAAACTAGTATAGAAATAATAAAGTTCCAACTAGGGCAATGTCACTTAAAGAGGTAAAATGAATAGAAGCTTTTCATATATTTTGCAGCATTTATAACCTTAGGTCATAATGTTCTAAGAAAGAACTATATGCCCTGAGTTGGCTATCAGCTACTTTTATCTGGATGTCCTAAAATCCCCACACATACACATAAGTGATTTATATAAATCCTTATCTTTTGAGATAAAAGACTTACCTATCAGCTTCAGAAGTCTGTCTTAATTCAAGAAATAACCATTGTTTATGCTGCTGTTAGGATGTTGACTTCAAATCACTGCTCCAGGACATGTTTATAGAAATTCTATAGTGCAGGTAATTCTACATCTCACTCTTTAAGTGCTAAAAAAAGCAACATTTAAATCCACTAGAGATGTTGACCCAAATTTCCTTAGCAAAGGATCCCAAATGCAGCCTCCCTACTCTGCAAGTATATTTACAAAATTCATCTCGGTCTTTCTAATTTGCCAGACAATAAAGATATAATCATTACTGGTACTTGTCTTCACAGCCAATCATGAATCAATAGGAAACAATCCTTTAAGATGACTATAAACTAAATTCCTCACACTCTTGATTTAATATTCACTCCACTCAGGTTTGCTCTTTGCCTTTGAAGGTGAGAGAAAGACTCTTCTGGCTATGACTGACTATCTTTCCAGAGTTGACTATCTGATTCCAAAGATAAGAAAATCCATCCATATGGAAAATGGAAGGAGAAAAAAGATAACCATATACTGTTGAACTGAATGTAGTCCTAATTTAAAATTCTCATTATTTACCACAAGAGCTCAAGGTTTTTGCTTAGAGAGGGAATTGGGTGGGAGGGGGAATTAATGTGGGTGACTTTTCCCCCAAGGAAAAAATCCTGGATTCATTCACAAATAACTAATTCTAAGCAGGAATAAAATATAGGAAGCAAATATTTAACTCACATAACTTTGATTCATAGTAGCAATAAATCTCTCACAGAGCTACAGAAGTTTGCTTCTGACTGCTTTTCCTCTTCTCTTGCCAGACTCAGTCTGGCAACAGGCCTATTATCATGCAGTCAGTAGAGAAAGCAAGCCAGCCAGCCATTCCACATGAGGAAAAGTCACTTCAATTAACCTTCCTCCCTGCTAAATGTACCCGATTGTCTACAAACAAAACACAGAGCTCTTAAGGAGAGAAGTTACATATGCTAAAGACAAATCTTTACACACACAAAAAGAAGACACCAGAGATTGGAAAAGGGAAGAAGATAAAATATTTTTCTCTCATTGTATTACAATTCACATTTTTTTCAAAACATGAACCAATTCTGTAGGTAGGAAAAAAAAAAAAAACAAGAAACAAAGATGAAATATAAAAATCAAGGAAAAAGGAATAAAAAGCTGAAGCAGAAAATCACTTCACAGGGGGCAGCAGGCAAGGAGCTACAGGAGTAAGTTGTGCAACTTATAGGATATCCCTCTGCTTTTATAGGCTTCAGTTTTCTCATCTGCAAAATGAGAGGTTGAGCCCCCAAAGCCTTTACAGCCCTAGTATCTTCTGTGTTTTCAGAATAACAGAAAACTTAGATAGACAACTAACAAAGACTGATTACAGATTTAATCATTTCATGACTATCTACATACTTCTAGAGAAGGCATTATCCAGAAATTTGGCTTATTGACAGTAGATATATAGGGAATGATAGTGTTAAATAAAAATTAGGGGAGACCACTGTTTTAGACTGAGCTCCTTCATTGGCCCTAACAGACCAAACCAAACCAAAATGGAGTCCCTCATCCTAAAGACCACATAATCACACATAATGACACTTAGAGGAAGCAGGCAGATCCCTGAAGAGACCAATTTTTCCTGAAAACCAGAGACTCCAGTCTACCTGAGTCAGCTTAATGAGGAGGTCCCCTCTCCAGTCTACCTGAGTCGGCTTAATGAGGAGGTCCTCTCTGCTTTAACTCTTACAAGAAAAGTACCCTGATGTCAACCAGTTTTCTTTTCTTTTTCTTTTGTTTTCTTTTTTGAGACAGAGTCTCCCTCTGTTGCCCCTAGCTAGAGTGCCTTGGGGTCAGCCTAGCTCACTGCAACCTCCAACTCCCAGGCTCAAGTGATCTTCCTGCCTCAGCGTCCAAGTAGTTGGGACTACAGGAATGTGCCACCGCACTCAGCTAATTTTTTCTATTTTTAGTAGAGACGGGGTCTTGATTTTGCTCAGGCTGGTCTCGAACTCCTGAACTCAAGTGATCCTCCCACCTCAGCCTCCCAGAGTGCTAGGATTACAGGCGTGAGCTGCCACCACGCAAGGCCCAGTTTTCTTTTCTATTGTTTTGTTTTCTTGTTTCCACCTTACAAAACCCACTGTTCTGCCATTGCTCATTCTATTTTGTAGAATGGAGGCCATGTGGTTCATGAATCTTGAATAAAAGCAAAATACATCTTTAACTAAATTTGTTATAATTTTGTCTTTTTCCAATAGCTAAAAAAAGTGGTGTAATCTGGCTAGATACAATCAATTTTAAGTAAAAGGTATGCTGTTCTTTGGCATACCTTTTACATGAGAAAAGAGCAGGTAGATTATTCAACCTGAAGGATGTTCCAGGTTATGCTCCAGATTGTGACACACAAATCTTTTTATTTTTTTAAGCAAAAGCTTCGGACTATCAACACCAATATAGCTTTTGTTACTGTATTGGCCCTTCATCCTAACAGTGCTCCAGATTCATTTTTGCAAAAGTTTTGCCTGGGCCATGTGGTAATAAAGTCCCTGCTTTCTCTTCCATGACTCACTTCCTAGATCAGCAAAGGACTCTCATTTTAATTCACAGAAATACTCTGTTTTGACCTATTTCTGAGAACTGGAGATTGGCCATGATGAACTTAGAAGCAGAAAATACAGAGTGGCCCATTCCTTTTGACCATGCTCCTGCTATATATCCTATAAGAACCTGGCCCATACTCCAGACCTGCTGATGTCCTGACTCTGATAAGTCCTATGTTTCCCAGGATTCACTTGCCCACTGCCTTCCCCAGTAGGGGCTCTAATAAACTATCAAAGAAGTTGAAGTTAGATTATGATTCAGAGGCCTCAGCTTTTGTTTTCCAGAAATACTTTAAGAAGGTCAATAATGCCCTCTTTTTACACAGCTAGGTTTGTACTTTGCTATTCAGCTTTTATATTAAGCACTTTTAACAATACTTTATACATATTAATACATAAATAACTATAAATAAAGCAATTTTATATTTGCTCATTAAAAATGAATTATAATAATGAAATCTGCTATAGAGGAAATAAAACTTGCTAACAGGACAGAGTATGAATTACACCAACAATGGTGAAAAGTTTTCAAGGCAACTTAAAGTTTTTGTCCCAACATGTGCCACAGAAGCTCAACCGTAAGCCAAAAGGATTTCTTCTGCTGAATGCCTTTAGATAAACCAGCATCTAGAAATTTAAGCATTGTTATATCATAGAAAAAAATTATTTCCAGTTATATTAAGTAAGCAGGAGTCAGTGACTTTATTTACATGTCAAAAGATTCCTAATTATTCTCAAATCAACCCTGGTTTTTCTGTTGTTGTTTTTTTAAACAATATAACGATATCTAATTTCTAGGAATCAAAATTATCTCATTGAGCTTGTATAACATAAAACACTCTTCAGAGCGTTCTCCTTGATTCAGGGGAGAATTTTCTTAATCACAGCTGCAGAAAGTTTTTCACTGTAGTTTTGAGGGCACTGTTTTGTTTTTTAATTAACTCCAATGTTCCCTCACTAATGGGAAATAGAGCCATCAGTACAAGCTGGGTTTTTAAAAAAATTATATACTGACAAATTATAGTCATATACATTTTTGGGGTACAAAGCAATGTTATGATTTTTTGATATGACGTGTAATGATTTAATCAAACTAATTAACCTACCTATCACCTCAAATATCTGACCTTTTTTGTGATGTGAATATTTGAGATTTACTCTCTAAGCAATATTGAAATGAACAGCACTCAATTATTAGCTATAGGCTGGGCGCGGTCTCTCACACCTGTAATCCTAGCACTCTGGGAGGCCGAGGTGGGTGGATCCATTGAGGTCAGGAGTTCAACACCAGACTGAGCAAGAGCGAGACCCCCATCTCTACTAAAAATAGAAAGAAGTTAGCCACACAACTAAAAATATATAGAAAAAATTAGCCAGGCATGGTGGCACATGCCTGTAGTCCCAGCTACTTGGGAGGCTGAGGCAGAAGGATTGCTTGAGCCCAGGAGTTTGAGGTTGCTGTGAGACAGGCTGAGGCCATGGCACTCTAGCTCAGGCAACAGAGCAAGACTCTATCTCAAAAAAAAAAAAAAAAACTATTAGCTATAGTCACTAGTAGAAGCTGATTTGAGCCCTGAGGAAGACAAAGTAAAGAACAATGTTAACCTAGTGCTAGTTAACATAGCTCTTCTGTTTCAGTCAATAGTGAACTGTAAAAGGAACAAACTTTTGCAAACTTAGGTAGCTACTAGGTATAGTCTACAAATAGATTTTGTTTAGGCAAAGGGTAATTCCATGTCTTCTAGTTTGCATTATCTAACTCAACCTACCTATAGAGTTTGCAGTTGTTAAAAGCTGTTACCTCTCAACTTTTCTTAATAAACTGAAATCATCTTTTAGAAAGAACCAACTAAAATGGCTTGAATACACTGTATACAAGACTCTCTCTGAGATCCCCACTCTACCACCCCCCATACCATGTGCCTCTCCTCAGATGTCACTCTCTCAACTCCAGGTTGTTTTTTTTTTTTGGAGACAGGGTCTCACTCTATTGCCTGGGCTAGAGTGCAATGACATCATCATAGTTCACTGCAACCTCAAACTCCTGGGCTCAATTGATTCTCCTGCCCCAGCCTCCCAAGTAGCTGGGACTACAGGCATGTACCGCCACACTTGGCTAATTTTTCCGTTTTTTGTAGAGATGGGGGTGGAGGGGGGTCTGACTCTTGCTCAGGTTGGTCTCAAACACATGGCCTCAAGCAACCCTCCCACCTCGGCCTCCCAGAGTGCTAGGATTACAGGCGTGAGCCACCGCGCCCAGCCTCGCTCATTCTTTTACTTCCTTCAAAAGCTAACAACTAGTTTCTTTTTAAGTTGGAAGAAATGTCAGATTCATTGTATGACTGTTTCAATAATATTGGGACTTTATTCTCTTACATAACATCGCTTTCAAATTATAATTATACGTCACAATTTTAATGATAATTATATTAATATTTCATCAAATATATTATGAACCTGCTATGTATTAGATACAACACTAATTGCATAATATATGAAGTTATTGGCATCTACAGTACTTGCTAATCAGGGCATAATAACTCTTTACTTTCCTTGCCTTTTAAAAACATACAGTGGATACTTTATCTGAATGATGAAAGAACACATCAGCAATTGTCTTTTCTTTAAAATGTTAATTCTAGAAGGAAAATAGCAGGAAAATCTGAGAAACAAGAATAGACAGGAATAACTCTAAGTACACTGTGCCTTGGAGAGGCAAGTACAAATACTTTCTTAACAACAATAACAAAAGAATTAAAACAAATTTTTTGTCTGCTTCTTATATTGCATGCAGTCTCCTCACCTTAGAGGTTGTGTTATCCCAAATGGCTAGACCAAAATAGTCTTCTTCCAAAAGGTTGAGGTGCTCACATACTCGTTTAAGCAAATCTTGTCCCTTAGCATGTTTCTGCAAAGATATACATACATATTTTAGTTGAAATTTCTTTTCATTTTCTTTTTTAAAGACAGTCTCACTACACTGTCTGGGCTGGAGTGTAGTGGCTATTCTCAGGTGTGATCACAGTGCACCGCAGCCTGAAACTCCTGGGCTCAAGTGATCCTCCACCTCTGCCTCCCAAGAGCTGGGATTACAGGTATGTACCACCATGCCAAATTTATGATTTCTTCTTATCCCCGTATTCATCACCAAATAAAATAAAATGTCACTTTCCAATTTCCTCTATTACCTTCAGTTACCAACAGACTTTCAGATGGCTACACAAAGTAGAACAATACAATTTTTTAAATTCTTGTTTCTCAATTTGTCAGCTTACATACCCAATGCACTCATAGTAGCTTGGAAATAGTGTTACAGTTCAAAGCAAAATTCTACCTTCTCTGTATCCCCCATCCCCCACCTCCACCTTAAACACCACATTCTTTATTTTTGGTGCAGTATTTCCTGAAACATGTTATGGGTGGCTATCGGTCACTGTGATCACTTGAATTACTAAATCAACTGTCAACACTGACAGTTAATTGTGGCTGTGGAAATCATCAGACTCCATATCATTTGAAGACCAAATATCCCAAGAAAATACCTCAACTTTCTCCAATCTCTTTCAGAAAAATGAATAAAGTAAAAGTCTAGATAGCCTACAGATACTACCTGTTAGAGTAGTCCTTTCAGTGGTGCTACAAATCATTTTCTTAATGTTTCTTTACCTAGAAAGTCAAACCACTCCCAAATTTGGGTACTTGTACTCCCATTTATAGGGAAGAAATGCCCTAAGTTAGAGGCTGAGATTTAGAGTCAAAAAGTCCTGGCTCCTCCATTTACTAGCTAAACAACCTGAGTAGATTCAATTTAACCTTTCTGAATAGTAGCTTTCTCATCTATAAAATGATAAGAATATTTATACCTGTCCGACCTATCTACTGGAATTGTTTTTTTAAAAAATCAAATATGCTAAGGTCTTCTGAGAAATATATACAAAAATACTTCCTAAAATTAGAATCATTTTTTGGCACACATACATGACATGTCTTCCTCTCAATGAGTTATTCTAAATGACTATTAGTAATTCACATAAATGTTAATCCATTTTCAGTCTTAAACCATTTATATTAAATCATTTTCTTCTCTAAATGACAGAAGATGATTTGGGAATTCTTCATGCACAGGTCCCTAATCCCTTAATCATAATTCTATTATAAAATCCAGAAGTTCTAACAGATAAAAG